CCAGACTGGAGTGCAGTGGCCGCTCCTGGCCACCTCAGCCTCGACCTGCTGGGCTCCAGCGATCCTTCCGCCTCAGCCTTCCAAGTAGCCGGAATTATAGGCATGAGCTTCCACGCCCGGCTGATTTTTTGATTTATTGTAGAGATGAGGTCTCGCTGCCCAGGCGGGTCTCGAACCCACGGGCTCAGGCAATCCACTCACCTCAGCCTCCCAAAGGCGCGGGATTACAGGCTGAGCCACCGAGCCCGGCTCAAATTTCTTAAACTTTGTTCAAAAGAACCTTGAAATAGAACTTCTTCAAGGACATTCCATTGAAACTACCATAGTGATGGCCTTCTATTTGACTTTAACCAGAGCTGCTCATTCTCAGTGGTGTGTGTGTGTGTGTGTGTGTGTGTGTGTGTGTGTGTGTGTGTGTGTGTGTATGGAGAGAGAAAAAAAGAGAGAATATTTACTTTTATGATTATTGTATTTTATGAAAATCAGATATGTGACCTTTGTCCCAAACTGTCCCCTCCAAGGAGTCTCGCTCTAGAAAAATACTATTTCCTTTTTAACTTAGCAATGAGGACATTTTAACTTAAGTTACAGTAAACCGTCATGTTAGAATAAAATATTGTCACTTCTTCCTAGTAAAAGTCAGCTATGGTAAAGTGACCAGAAAAAAAATAATAAAATAAAACACAAAATGAATCTTATGATTCATTTCCAAAAGTAGCCTTTCATAATCATTGAGGCAATCTGAGCTGCGACCTCCTTAGTTCTTTACTAGAGGTGGGAAGTAGGAAGAGAAGGATTATGTTGGTTTCCTGTCACCACATCCTTCCTAGGCCCAGCCACAGCAGAGGTGCTTGATATAGTTCTGTTGTCTTATATGTTTACATAGTAAACATACATATGTATTATTCACTCACATATAGCCAATGCCAAGCCCATAGAAAGAAAGCTGACCCTTCTTCCAAATGTAATTTTCTCTGATCATTTGCTAAAATAATTATTGATGAAAGGATAACTAAGCCCCAACCCAAACTGACCAATTTGGTCCTCAACACTCGTTTACCCACCACTCAATGACAACACTCTACTCCTTATATTTTTTGAAAAATAGCTCAGTATGGCATGTACTTGCTTGGGCTCTGGAAACCTTAGACTTGTATTAGAAGCATTGTCTTGAATAGCTTGAGGAATTTGAACTTTCCCACCATGTCAATCCAATGATCGCTTTAACTTAGCAACCAGGCACACTATGTATATACAAATGGATACATGTTGAATGTCAAAAGAATGAGTAAATGGTTTAATTGTTGAGTAAAGTAGCCATGGACTGTTACATTGACTGAGCCCTGCCTGGTGAATCCATGCTTTCCTTCAGTGGGCTGTAATAGGATGCAACAGTTCTTTTCTTTTCTTTCTTTCTTTTTTTTTTTTGAATTGGAGTCTCACTCTGTTGCCCAGGCTGGAGGGCAGTGGCACGCTCACGGCCACCACAGCCTTGACCTCCTGGGCTCAGGCAATCCTTGCGTTTCAGTCTTTCAAGTAGCTGGAACTACCACACCCAGCTAATTTTTTGATTTATTGTAGAGCTGAGGTCTCGCCAAGTTGCCCAGGCTGGTCTTGAACCTTTGAGTTCAGGCAGTCCTCTCCCCTGGGCCTCCCAAAGTGCTGGGATTACAGGTGTGAGCCAGTTCTTTTCTATCAGCTGAGTGCTCTGGGAAAGTGACAAAGGAATTGTTAAGTATATAAACTTGAAGTGATTAGGATAAGGAATTCTGGGTGTTTTGCTCTTCTTGTTTGCCAGTAGATAGGAGTGCAATTAGTCAGCCAGCCCTACCATTTATATCTCCCAGGCATATCTCAGATCTGTCTATATTCTCCCTTACTTCCAAGTAGGCCAGGCCAACCTACACTCATGCTACGATAGCCTCCTCAGGGGTCTCCTTGCTTCCACTCTTATTACCTCCAATCTGTTCCAAATAGGTGTCCATTATCCTCTATCACTGGAGCCTACATGTTTCTATCAATGCTCTAGTGCATTTGGTTATATAAATAGGAAGTTAGTTTCTGCTTCTCCCTCAAGTCTGTGAGCCCCAAGAATACAGAGTTCTTTCTTATTCACCATGGTAGTCCAGCCCCACCCCCAAACCAGTGTGTAACACATAGAAGCCTTTCCACAAGTAGTTAATGAATGAATGCATGTGGATTCTCAAAGGCACAGAGACCACTTTTTTTTTTTTTTTTTTGAGTTAGAGTCTCACTCTGCCACCCAGGCTGGAGTACAGTAACATGATCACAGCTCACCATAGCTGCGACCTCCTGGGCTCAGGTGATCCTTCCACCTCAGCCTCCAGACTAGCTGGGACTACAGGTATGCACTACCATACCTGGTTAATTTTTTGATTGATTGATTTTTTTTTTTTTTAGAGATGAGTTCTCGCTGTGTTGCCTAGACTGGTCTCTAACTCCTAAACTCAAGGAATCCTCTTGCCTCAGCCTTCCTAAATGTCCAGATTACAGGTGTTAGACACTGCATCTGGCCTGAAACCACTTTTTTTTTTTTTGCCATTTTAATTTTTAATTTTTTTTTGAGTCAGAGTCTCACTCTGTCACCCAGGCTGGAGTGCAGTGGCACTCTCACAGTCACCACAGCCTCGACCTGCTGGGCTCAGGCAGTCCTCCTGTCTCAGCCTCCCTAGCAGCTGGAACCACAGGTGTGCACCAACACGCTTGGCTGATTTTTTGATTTATTGTAGAGACGAGGTCTCACTATGTTGCTCATGCTGGTGTCAAATCCCTGAACTCAGGCAATCCCCTCACCTCTGCCTCCCAGAGTGCTGGGATTACAGCTGTAACCCACCATGGCTGGCTCTGAAACTACCTCTCAATGCACTTTGTGTCATCAGTACCAAGGACAATGCCCACTGAAAAGCAGACGCTCCATAAATGTTTGCTCTATGTTTGATTCGACTGATGAAGAGATAACTTGGTTTTAGAGAAAACTGCATTTGAATCTTCTTTATGTTAGATCTTATCAACTGTGTTGACTTTGAGCCCTGATTTCCTTAGCTGCAAACCTGGAGCTAATTTAGCAGGGTTACTGCAGAATGAGACAGGCTTGTGCAGGCTCTGCACAGTGTCTGACACAATGTGTTCCCACAGTAACTCCACGTAACACTGGGGGAATGTTCACTGAATACATCTACAGGGAAAGAAAAAAGTGACTCCTCAAACCAGGCATGGTGGCTCATGCCTGTAATCCCAGCACTTTGGGAGGCGGAGGCGCGAGGATTGCCTGAGCCCAGGGGTTTGAGATCAGCCTAAGCAACTTGGTGAGACCTGTCTCTACAATAAATCAAGAAATTAGCTGGGCATGCACTCGCGCCTATCATTCCAGCTACTTGGAAGGCTGAGGCGGAAATATCACCTGAACCCAGCAGGTCAAGGCTGTGGTGGCCATGAGCCACTGAACTCTAGCCTGGGTGATAGAATGAGACTCTGACAAAAAAAAAAAAAAAAGAAAAAAGAAAAAAAGAAAGTGACTCTTTAACTAGGGGGAAAAACCCAAACAAAAAATTTTACATGCAAAAAGTCACAAACAACTACCCCAAGTGACCTTGTATTGTTTTTATTTGACTTTCTCTGTATTAAAATGTTGACGGAGACAGGGGCATGGGGGAGGGAGGGTCAACTCTGTTGTTTTACCCTGTTCCTAGTTCCCTTTAGCAAAGACTAGACAGCCACTCCCCACCTGGGGTTTTTCAACTGCACAGTAATTGATATTTATAAAGAAAATGTAGTGGGTGCTCACAAGGAGTAGCCGCTATTTAGAATCAGTCCATCCAATCATAACTGAAACCCTTTGGTGTCTTGTACTGCTGTCAGAGTATAAACTTGAGCCCTAAGCATAGTCTGCAAAAGTCTGGCCTTTGTCCATCATTTTTGCTCAACCTTACCCTTATTCACCGAGCAGGTTTTCTCTGAGTTTCAGCCACAGGACCTTTGCATATGTGCTTCCTTTTGGCTGGACAACCCCTCTGTTAACTGGATTTATCCTTATAGCTCATGTCAAGGGCGCATCTTCAGACGCTTCCCTGACCTTCCAGTCTTGGCTCTAGAATCTTCTTCCAGTCATTCACAGTAGGGTCTGGCTTATACACCTGATTTCGTAGTTATTTTGCTTATGTCTTTCCCCCCCACAACGTGTACTGTCTGAGAACAAGACGGTGGATGCCTTGGTTATCCAGTATCTCTCCAGCGCCCAGGATGGCATCCAGCTCGTGGCAGGTGCCCAGTAAATGTGGGTTGAGTGAATGAATAAACGAGAGATTTCCAGGACTCCCGTAGGGATCTGGGGACACAAGAGTGAGGATTCCAGGTGTCACCCCCACCCCTCGTCTCTCGGAGGTGGAGGGTGGGGTGAGGACACAGACCAATAAACTAAGCAATCTAAGCCCCTCGCCATTCTGCAGCGGGTGCGCGGTTGCTTGCACTAGTCACCCTACCCGGGCCAGACAGGCTTCGGAGGGAGGGGTGGGTTTAAGGGGGGATGCCGAAGGCCAGCGCACGGCGATCGATCAGCTGAACAAAGCGTTCAGGTCCCGGTGCAGACCCCAGATCCTCAGCGAGGCGGCGGGACACGAGGGTTAGGACTCGGCTCCTAAC